CCACACCTTTTTAATCAAGAGACAACTTCTTTCTGGAACCCTTTCTCGTTCATATTTTTTGAAGTCTTCACTTCCGCAGGAATCCACTCAGGACCTTTGCTTTCCAACATATTAATTAATTAATTAATTTTAATTCTAAGTACCTTTCGTTTCCTGATGATTTTAAAATATACCACGTGAAGTACTTCAGTCTGACACACTTCCTGTGCAAAAATAATGTTTCGAAAACTGTATGGTCCTCGATGTTGGCAAAATATGACACGCTGAATTATTAACATCAACTGCGTAATAATCTTGAAGTCTTGTCGTTGGACTGTGATCTCTGTTTTCATCGCCGCATTGACTACACGTTTTTACTGAAGGCTCAAAGCGTAGTGTTGTCACTCGTTACATTCCGTGTTCCACTGCTGATGGCCTCTGTCCTTTGTTCGCCGCCCTCTAGAATATAATTCTGTTGTCTAGAACCGCGGGACATCGACGGATTCCTCCGACCTCGAAAGAGTTAAAAACTGCGACTCCTCGTGCCACAGCCGACGTTTCCGTGCCCGTGCGATACGACAATTATGAAGGTATTTCAGTGGGACTGAATCCCTCAACGCCTTATTCAAAGGGACTGCCCTTTTTCCTTATTAACGCGTTTAAAAGCAAAATTATTATTCGATATTTTATTCTGTCAGTGCGCGGGTACCCGCTGGGATAATCTGACACTGCCCTACATTCGTGGTTAATCACAGTTTCAAGGTCAGACCGTCAGCCAGATTTATTTCTGATGCAAAGACGTTGACATGTACAATAAAGATGGTGTTTCTCTGACGAACATTCTATAGCATTAATTATAATTGGTTTTTTCTTTTAATTTTTCTTAACTTAATTATTAATTAGGTTTATAATTACGTATTTGGTTCAGATGTTCAGACGTTTTTCACCCTACCACAATTCGTTTTAGTTGATACGTCATTCTCACACTGGTTTGTCCATGATCGATGTTCGCTTCAGACGTAGGCTCGTCAGCACTGATTTCTCCCGGACATGCCGACCGTTCTACTCCTTGTCCTGAGCACGTGTTAGAATCGATTGATACCCACGACGTCCATTGCCCGTCCTTCCCCTATTTGAGCCATCACAAAGCGTCCCGCGATTTTCACAGCCTCTGACCACAGATCATATCACATTTAGATCGTTGTTGTTCTGTGGTGTATTGTCTCGCTGTAACAACTGTTTCTCGCGTGATAACACTGTCACCAAAGGCCAATTACGTGGACATAACTGAGGGTACCCACTGTTTATATCAACCAGCGATACCAGTACTGCCAACATAATTTATGAGGTATGTTGAAGTACCGTCAGAAATTTTGAAAACTTCTACATTTATCAAGCCTAGAAAAACATAGCAAACAATACAAATAGTTGTCTATAGCTGCAGTAACCTATCGCTCCGGATTCTGTTTCTACATCTTTACTGGAATTAAAGAATTGAATAATTGGGAACCATGGAATAATGCTCCATCTTTATATAAAACGTCTGCCATGAGCAGTAATAGATATATTTTGTGTTACTCTGTTCATAATAAAACTTCATACGCTCAAAAATATATCTCTTACAATAATACCTTAATATCAGCAGTATCTAGACACGACTTTGTTACATTGAAATCTCACGTCTTACGACATTTATACACCCACACCTCAGGAGTATGCAAATTCTCCCAGAACGTAAGTACAGAAGCACAGATACCATATCACACATTCTGCTTCGGTGGGTCCATTCTATGTATACACGCCCTGCAATCAGCATCTCATTCTACAGGTCTTCATGTTTGATTTAATTTGAATTGATTTCTCTTAAGAGACAGTTCAAGTCTGGCTGAAAACATTTCAATTAGACTGATTCATGCCGCTGTAGAAACAACGCGCAGATGTTAATTAGACCTGTATCTAGATGTGTGAACACAGACCTCACGTCAGTAGAACGCTGAAGAGGCGCGTTAAACTCCGACTTCCAAGTGCCCTCCTTTTCAGGTTCTTTCCAATTTACCATTTACAAATCATTCTACCGATCTACGCTACATGAAGTAAGCTAACACAATTATCAATAAATCAGGCCATTACTTAATAAGATTTGCTCACTTAAGGCTACACTCTTAGTTCGCGACAATCAAAATATCAGATAATTGAAAAAAGAACTTATACACGAAACTTAATACGAAGTTTATAGTGTCGTAACTTGGACGTCAGTGTACGGTTTGTGAAAACTTAGTGTCCTGCGTTGTAGGAGAGGCTTTGCCCCGCGTTATAAGAAAGGTTGTGTATATATATATATATAT